AGAAAATTAAAGCAAAGAAATAAGAACAAAAATAAGAAAAGAAAAAAGAAAAACAACGAAGCAAAGACAAAAATAAAAAAGACAATACAACAAAGAAGACAAAAAAAAAACAACAACGAAGAAAAGACAAAAATAAAATAAAAGACAATACAACAAAGAAGACAAAAAAAAAAACAACGCCACAACAAATAAAAGACAATACAAAACAAAGAAGAAAAAAAAAAAAAAAAACAAAACCGCCAAAACAACACCAACCCCAAACCACACCTCCCAACCACCTCACCTTGTTAAAAGAAAAGTCATCCATGTCAGTCAACGCTCGAATGACGACTTTGGTGCCCTCGAAACTGAAGCTGCAATTGGGTATGCAAGCGTGGTCGAAGATAGAAGCTGCGAGGTAGAGGCCGCTGCCCACCATGCCCAGTTCCTCGTCGTGGAGGCAGAAGCGGTTGACCATCACCTGTTGGGGAGAGAGAGAGGGAGATGAGAGGACGTGGTGGTGAGAGGGAGAGGGGGATATGAGGGGATGAGGGGTGTGGTGGTGAGAGGGTAGAGGGGATATGAAGGGAGGGTGATGGGGAAGGGTGTGGTGGGAGAGGGAGAGGGGCGAGAGGGGGATATGAGGGGGGAGGGTGATGGGAGGGTGTGGTGGTGAGAGGAGAAGAGGGGGAGAGGGAGATGAGGAGAGGGGGTGTGAGGGGGGAGGGTGATGAGAGGGTGGTGGTGGGAGAGGGGGAGAGGGGAGGGAGGTGAGAGAGGGTGTGGTGGTGGTGAGAGGGAGAGGGGGATATGAAGGGGGAGGGGCGATGAGGGGTGTGGTGGTGAGAGGGAGGAGGGGATATAAGAAGGGAGGGAGATGGGAGGGTGTGGTGGTGAGAGGGAGAGGGGGAATGAGGGGGGAGGGTGATGAGAGGGTGTGGTGGTGAGAGGGAGAGGGGGAGAAAGAGGGGGGAGGGAGATGAGAGGGTGTGGTGGTGAGAGGGAGAGGGGGATATGAGGGGTGGAGGGTGATGAAGGGGTGTGGTGGTGAGAGGGAGAGGGGGAGACAGAGGGGGGAGGGTGATGAGAGGGTTGTGGTGGTAGGAGGGAGAGGGGAGAAGTAAGGGGGAGGGAATGAGAGGGTGTGGTGGTGCATGGGGAAGGGGGATATGAGAGGGGGGGGTGATGAAAGGGTGTGGGTGGTGAGAGGAGGGAGGGGGATATAGGGGGGAGAGGGGTGAATGAAGAGGGTGTGGTGGTGAGAGGGGAAGGAGGGGGATAAGAGGGGGGAGGGTGATGAGAGGGTTGTGTGTGTGGTGGTGAGAGGGAGGAGAGGGGGAGAGGAGGGAGGGGAGGGGAGGAAGGGAAAAAAAAAAGATGGGAAGGGGAGGGGGAGGAAAACAAAAAAGGAAAAAAAAAGAAGAAGAAAAGAAGGGAAGAGGGGGGGGGGGGGGGGAGGGTGATGAGGGGGATTGGGGGGGATAGAGTTGTTAGGGGAGGTGAAGGGGAAAAGGGGGAGAATTGGAGGGGTGATTTGATGGGGTGGGAAGGGGGGGGATGGTGTGAGAGAGGAGGAAGAGTAGGCGGAGGGAAGAGGGAGGAGGGGGAGTATGGGAGAGGAGGAGAAGGAAGGAGGGAGACGGAAGAGGAATTGGTGTGACGGTGAGAGGGAGATGAGAAGATGGGATGGTCGAGAGGGAGAGTAGGGGAGGAAGAATAGAGGGAAGAAGGAGATGAGGTAGTGACGGGTGAGCGAGGTGGGAGGAGAATGGGAAGAGAATGATGGGTATGGGAGGGAGGAGAGAGGGAGATGAGAACGGGAGTGAGAGGAGAGGGAGAGGGTGAGATTTAGAGAGAGAGAGTAGAGAAGGATGGGAGGATGGTGAGAGGTGGGTGAGAGTGAAGATTGAGAAAAAAGAAAAAAACAACGAAAAACAGAAAAACAAGCAATGTGGAGAAAACGTGACTATAAAATAAGAAGAGGGAGAAGGATTAAATGCAGAAGATTAGCTTTATAATATGCTAATTATATGTAATGGCGGTGGAAGCGAAGAAGAGCACATACAAAAAGAAGAAGCTCTTCTCTCTGTCCTCTCTCTCCTTCTCTTTCCTATTTCCTTTCTTTTAATATTTTTTTTCCTCATCTTTTTCTTCTTTTTTCTTGCTTCTCTCGCTGGTCCTTTTTCTTCTTCTCTTCTTTTCTTTTTTTTTTATTATTGTTTCTCTCTCTCTCTCTCCTTCTGCCTCCTCTTTTCTGTTATTCCTATGATCCTCTTTCTCTTCTTTTCTTCTTTTCTTTTTATCTTTCCCTTTCTTTATTTTATTATCTCACACTTTTTTTTGTCCCCTTTCCTCCTCTCCTCCCTCTCTCTCTCTCTCTCTCTCTCTCTATCTATCTATCATCCCTTCTCGTCCTCCTCTCCACACCCTGTTCCCTTTCTCTCTCTCTCTTTCCACTTCTTCTCCCCCCCCCCTCTCATCTCGTCGTCCTCTCTCTCATCTAAACTCTCGTCCATTCCTCTATCTCTCACTCCTCTTGTCCTCTCATCATCTCTCCTCCTCCTCTCTCTCTCTCATCGTCATCTCCCATCCTCTGCTCTCTTCTCTCTCTCGTCTCTCTTCTCTCTTATCATCATCCTCTCAATAACACTGTTTGATTCACATCGATGGCACTTGACCCCGAGTAGCCTGGATCTGGCGACAGGGAGAAGGGCCCCTGAGTTGGCAACCGATGCCAAAAGGCAGATTTGAGAGGTCAACCATATCATATTGAAACGGTCAGCAATAACAACTCGGGAAGAGAGAGGAAGAAAAAAAAGGGGAAGGGGAAAACGTTGTAAGAAATTGCTTTGAAGATGACAGCTATGGGGTGGTTGTTATTCGTTGTTGGTTGTTGGTGATCGGCTGGTTTGGTGTTTGGTGTTGTTTTGCTGGATAATAATTGGTATTGTGCTGTTGTTGTTGTGATAGTGATGCTATTACGACTATTTTTTGTTTGTTATATCGTAGCTATATGACTATTTTTTGCTAGATAAGCAGTTCAAAAATGATAGCTTAACAACCCTGAAAAAAAAAAAAAAAAAAAAAAACATCAGACGAACAAGATGCCCGTGTTCGAAACCTTATAGCTATATGACTAATTTCATCCTTTTCTTTCCCTTCCGTAGATAGATGCTTAGCAGTTCAAAATAAATAGCTGAACAAACCTTTGAAGAAAAGAACAAAAAAAAGAATCATGCAGACGAAACTAAGATGCCGCCGTGTTCGAAAAACCTCAAGAATCCGGGTGATACTGTCGTGGCGAGAAACCTGCCACATATAATGCAAGACACAAGCAGCGCATTCGGGAGGACGGTTTTAAGGGCGGTGCCACGTATTTCTTGTGTGGCAACCTCGTGAGCGCGAGGCGGGGGTACAATGCGATGCTACTTTCTCATTTTCACCAACCGCCCATTGCTGGGGCTGCGTGAAGGAGGAGGGGGGGAGAGAAGGGAGGGAGGAGCGAGAGAAGGCAGGCGAGGGAGGGAGAGGGAGTGGGAGAGGGGGGAGTGGGGAAGTGGGAGAGGCGAGGGATGGATGGAATGGATGGATGGGAGGGAGGAGGGGAGGGAGGGAGGGAGG